CCCTTAGGGAATTCCTCTCCATTCCAACTCAGGGGTCCCCCAGTAGTAACAATTACAGTAAGGATAGCAGCCTTGACTAACAGGCTTACTGTACATCTGGCACTGGGCTAAATCTTCACTCTTTGAAGCTGAAAAATAGCTCTGTGGGGCAGGGCAGGGGAGCCTACTTTATAGATGTGAAAACCGAGCCCAGGGTTGAAATCCAGATCCATGTGCTTCAAAAGCCCTGACTCTTAACCCTGATGCTGACTGGGGAGGGGGGTTTCTTTGATTTCTGGGGTTCATTGCAGCTCAGTGTTACCTGAAAGGCAGCTTGGATTTCAGCACAAACGCTCCACTTAGAGTCAAGAATCTGCAACTACAAGGTCCTGTCCTCAGCTGTCGCCAGGTGGCTAGGCACCTGCGCCACCCCCTCCAGGAGACAGGCTCTCACGGCCCCTTCTCTCTCTCCTCGCCACCTCCCCTCGCCCTCACAGGTGTGGATTGATGCCGGGACCCAAATATTCTTCTCCTATGCCATCTGCCTGGGGGCCATGACCTCGCTGGGGAGCTACAACAAGTACAAGTACAACTCGTACAGGCAAGTGTTGCGCCGGCGGGCCTGGCGGACTCTAGAGATGATGATGATGTTTAAAGAGAAAAGAGAAGTAGGGAGCGTGGCTTCCTTGTGTTGTGAATTAACTTGCTCCCTGACATATGTGTAACTTAGGGACTGTATGCTGCTGGGATGCCTGAACAGTGGTACCAGTTTTGTGTCTGGCTTCGCAATTTTTTCCATCCTGGGCTTCATGGCACAAGAGCAAGGGGTGGACATTGCTGATGTGGCTGAGTCAGGTACGGTGGTATTGGTGGCAGTGGTGGTGGGCACTGCCACCTAGTGTGTAAGACAAGTACTGCAGGCATGAAGCCAGACCCTAGGGGGCTTTTGGGGGGGACGAGCCTGGTTTCTAAAATGGACCCCCCCACCAACATGTCCCCCAAATATCAAAGAGTACAAAAGCTAAATTTTAAACATTTATTGCAATTTGGCCCAAGGGGTGGCAGAAGCACGGGGTGTGGTTAAGTTGGGGAGTATTTAGCTACATTATACGGTCTTCCCCCACCCTTCCTTTCCCAGCAAACTCCTGGTTTCAGCGACAGAAACCACTTTCATACCTCAGGCCCAGTGGGCACTCCATTGCCACCTTCTCAGTCGTGGTTTCTGTATTTTGCACTTTGCTCCCAGCACACTCCCTCTGAGCAAACTCATTCATTCATTCCACCGACATCTATTTATGGAGGCTCTACTCTGTGTCAGGCACCACCGTTGGCACAGGACCGCGTGGGGGGAGGGGCACACAGATGAGGACAGTGGGAGCAGAAGGCTACTTTTTGGGACAGTGACAGATGCAATTTGGGGGTAGGTTGTGAGGACACCATCCTCCCTCAGGGTGGGGGCCCATTTGGCCGGGTACTCCTCCTTGGGACACCTGGAGTCATAGGTGTGGAGAATCACAGAGTCTCAGAATCATGGATTCTGCAGTCTGGGACTTCTGGAACCTAGGATCCCAGAGTTCCAGCAGGATGGTTTTGGAACCTGAGGATTATGGGGTCTTCAACTGATAGAATCCTACAGCCTTACCACAAGATCTCCAGTGCCTGGACTTGGCCATGGCTGCTTGAAGTCCTGGGCTGACAGTCTTAAAACTGCAGTGACTTTGATTATGGGATTACTTTAGGCTCCCAGGACCCCCAAAGTCCACCTTTCCGGCTTCTCCGTCTTTCCCCAGTACTGCTCAGTTCAGTTGGAGGAGGGGCGTCAGTTGCCTGGAAGATTTTGTTACTTTACACACTGACGGCCCTCCCCTCTGCCCCCTGCTGCTGACCTCCTGTTTCTCACAGCCTCCCTTGGGCCAACCAGAGGCAGGGGAGGGTCCTGGTCTGTGATTCCTTTCAAGCCCAGGGGAGGGTGTAAGGGTCGTAACTCCAGAGACCACTGCAGAGCAGAGTCAGGCACAGCTGGAGTCCCTGCTGTTCCACTGCCTTGACCTCCCCCTTCTTACTGTATCTGAACACAAGGCCGTGTTCTGGTGCCCCAGTCATAGAACCCTAGCTTTGGACAGTCAGGGGACACCTTGGCACTGTGTGTTTAGACATCCGCTTCTCAGGTAAGGCGACCAAGTGACTTGAGAGCAAGGGCCTTGCTCGGGCTGGTTAGGTTCAGAGCAAGGGTCTCCAGGCACCCTGACCACTGCTCCTCCACCTACCACATGCTGGACAGGCCCTTCTGACATGGGGACGTCCCCCTCTTGCCTCCCACCCCACCCTGGACCCAGGTGACCCCCTCTGTCCAGTCCAGTGCAAGAATTTGGGTGGACTCCTCTGACTTCTTGGAGCCCCCGGCTCTGCTCACTTTCCTCCTCACTTGGCAGAGACCCCCACTGCTGGGCCCCATCCTTAGAAACCCCCTAGGCTTCAGGACCACCTGGGCAAGTCCACACCTCAGCCCCACACTTGTCCACTGCCTCTGCTTTCAGATTGAACCTTCGGACAGGACTGAAGGTTTGCCCCCACTTCCTAAGGGTCCCCAAAGGCAGGCCAGAGGCTGAGGACACAGAAAGTAATTCCAGAAATAGTCACCCTCATTTGGGAGCTGGGCAGTGGAGTGGTGAGGAGTAGCCTGGGACAGTTTACAGCTCCTCTGCAGATGGCTTTCTCCAACTGAGGGCTTGCAAACCAATTCCAGCTGATGGGGAGTCGCCAGGAGCATGGAGTGCATTTGGCGGTGGGAGATGTCGATAGATAGATAAAATATGTCTTTCTCTGTTGACAGCTAGGTATTTTCATATACGTATATATCATCAGCCTAAGTTGTCTGCTTCCTCCCGTCCACTTCAAAGATCTTGTCATTTATCCCCCATGGTGATATCTGAACAGCCAGCACTTGAAGGGTGATTATTTCTCTAATAAGCTTTTAACAAGCACCATATTGAGCGAAGTGCATTTGAATGAGATAATTATTTGTAGCCAAACAGAGTGCAAACGAGATGTCACAAGGCACATTCTCTGCCAGTAGGGAGGCATCCCGATCCTCAGAGTGGCTGTGTTCCTTCTCCCGGGCTTCTCTCTGTAGAGGCCCCTGCACGCTTTTAGAGAAGGCTGCTCAGACCCTCTGCTGCAAGCTGGCTGAGAGGCAAAACTGAAATACAGAAACGAGCCAATTAAGAATCTGCAGCGCCCTGGCGGGGGCAGCGGGAGCAGCAGGGGCGGCGGGGCCCATTTCACATCTGTCTCGCAGTCGCTGGACTTGGTCCCTTTCCCGCTGAGGACCAGGCAGCGCCAGAGCTGACGTGGTGGGAGACCCGCGGGACCCTTGTGGATTCTGACCTCGACTTTGAATCCAAAGGCGTTTCCCAGCATCCCGGGGACACCCAGCCCTTGTCCCTCACACTCATTCTTTTGGGCAGCTTTGGGGTCAGTAGGAACACCGTTCCACTTCTGGCTCTGGCCAGTGCAGGGATCCGAACCCTTTACGTTGGTGTTACAAGGTGGGGTGCTAACCCACTGAGCTAACCGGCCAGCCCCCATTCCACTTCTCATGGAACTTTCTAGCATCACACATTTCTAGTGACAAACCACTCTGTCACCGCCCAAGGACACCGTTTTGGTCAGGTTTTCTCAGGCCGAGTGGACTCTAGACTGTAAAAGGAGTTGCTCTTCTCTGCCTCATTTGGAGTTAATGCCATGTAATGTGGTTTCTGGTTCCACTGCATTGCAACGTTGGTTTTATTTTGTTTCATTTTTTCATTCTTAAGCCATTCACTTGGTTTCTGATATTTGCTGTAAGAAGTTGTCCACGTCTCCTGTTCTCTAGACCTTCTTGTTTCCCACTTCTTGACTTCTTTTTTTTAGTTGTAGATCTTACTTTATTTTTCTGTCCAGGCCCTTTAGGCCTGCTCCCAACCCCTTCTAGGACCCACAGGTTATCAGTTGACGACTAGACTCTTTGCCTTGGCATCTGCTCTCAGGCTAGTTGGTGACAGGAGCAGACATTGCTTGACTCCTCCGGGATGACTTCCATCATCAGAAAGGCACCCCGAGCTGGCAGGGCTCCTGTCTTCCCGACTCTGCGCCCCAGATCTGTCCTGGTGCCCTCTTTTGAACCCCAGAGCCCTTTTCTAGGGAAACGGTGTCCACCTCTTGAGCTGGCAGGGCTCCTGTCTTCCCGACTCTGCCCCCCAGTTCTGTCCTGGTGCCCTCTTTTGAACCCCAGAGCCCTTTTCTAGGGAAACGGTGTCCACCTCTGAGAATCAGAGCACAAGAAGGCTCCTTGTGAGTCGTTCACAGTCACCTGACCCTCATTTTTCAGTTATGAAGCTGAGGCCCCAAGAGGGCATAGGTCATACACAGAGGAAATGAAGTAAGGACTTGACTGTAGCAGGGGCCTCCCAGGCCCGGGACCCTGCCCCTGTGCCTGGGTCCTTTCAGCATTTGGCCTTGTTTGGTCAAGCCATGAGGTCTTGGCTCTGATGCTGCATGAGCGGGCGCCGCACATGCCCCACTGAAGAGGCATTGGTCCTGCTGGGTGTGGTTTTGTGTTCTTTTTCCCTTCCACTCATACGATGTTTTAGCCATTAGATCAAAAATGGAAACGTTTTCTTTGCAAACAAAGGCTTCAGTAGTCAGATAACCAGAACTTTCCCCTGGCTTCCTTCCACAAATGTTGCTGACGTGATGGCTTTGGTTTGGGAGTGGGGTCCCCCTTTTCCTGAGTCCCTGGCAGACCGAGTCCGAGGCTCAGTCCTGTGTCCTGTCCCAAACAACCAGTGTCCGTACGGATTCCGGTTTGTGAGGAGGCCATTCATGCTGTGTAGGAGACAGATGTTAAACCGGGCCCCGCCTGAGCCCCGGTACGTCCCACCCCAAAGCAAGACAAGCCTGGTCTCCTTCCCCAGGCAAGAATTCAGCCCGGGCTCCTCCCTGCGCTTGGGTGTGGGACACCTGCCTCAGGTCTGAGTGTCTGTGTAAGCCCTGGTGCCCACAGAGGCCTGGCCACTGATGTGCATCCCCCTTGTCCCCCCTCCCATTTTCTCTCCCTTTAGGTCCTGGCTTGGCCTTCATTGCCTACCCGAAAGCCGTGACGATGATGCCGCTGCCCACGTTTTGGTCCATTCTGTTTTTCATTATGATTCTCTTGCTTGGACTGGATAGCCAGGTATGTATGAGTCCTGGGCTGGCCCTGGGGGAGCCTGATTCTGGGAAAGCCTCCTTATCCAAGCCATGAGGGGGTCCAACCCCTGCCCCGGCTCCAATCAGACTTGTAGCAGCTTCAGCCAGCAAGAGATCCTCCAGGACACCAGGCGTAGAAAAGGTTTCAAGACAGCAGCAAGAAAACGTCGGGCCCAAAGCTCGAGGCTGTCACCCCAGCAAGGGGAAAGGGACGACCAGGGGGTGTGGTTAAAATCAAGCCATAGATGAGAAATAGAAGGTCAAGACCCCAAAAGTAATGAAATGCTCTCCTGGAGCATCTGGGCAGGAAGGGACTGACATCACTGGGGCATGAGTTGATCAGTGTCACAAGTGGGGCAAGAGGAGTCTGACCCACACTCAGTGTCCTATGCTTCCCGGGGCAGTGAACTTGCCCCGACCAGTGCTTCATGCACAGCTCAGGCTGGGGAGCCTCGTCAGACCCGCCCTGTCCTCTGGCTGTCCTGACTTCTGCCTCTGGGGACAGGGCTCTTTCTATGCGGGGGTTGTTTCCTGTACTTCTGAACCCCACCTCCCATCCCTCCAGGGCTCGGGCCCCCACTGGAAGGCAACTCACTGCCAGGGCATGTTAGTGAGGGCCAGCGAGTGGCTACTCCTGGCTCTGCAGCAGCACAGGTCCAAGCCCGCCCACTGCTGTGTGACGTTGGGCAAGTTTCCTCCCCTCTAAGCCTCGGTTTTCTCATCTGGCAAATGGTTGTGTTTATACCTACCTTGCCTTGTGTGAAGCACCAGTCACAGTGCCTGGCATAGAGCAGTCGGTGGTGGTTGGAAGACAATTCACGTGACCTCCTGGGCCCCTTTCCCTGGAAATAGGTGTATTTTCATTGGGGCTTTGTTAAGATAACAGTTTAGAGCACGTGTCACTCCAGGAGTGGGGGATTACAGTATGCAGGTGGGTGGTCATGTGCCAAGGCCAGTCAGGGTCCTGCAGGTGGCACCATGCAGTCTAGTCACTGAGAAACAGGGATGAGGCAGGAGTCTGTGCAGTCTGGGTCGGGGGTCCCACTGCCCCATGGAAAGTCTGTGGTCAACTGGGACCCTGTGAGAGGCCGGAGCCTGCAGCCAGTTCAGGAAAGCCCTTCACTGCCCTCCCCAGGGGCCATGGCCTTCAAAGCCAGTGCACAGGGCGGGTCTCCGGGGACTCAGAGCTGAGTAGGAGGAAAAAATCTTAGAAGGTCAGGCAGAGGAGAGTGAGTCCAGAGAGAGGAGGCGGTCAGCTAGCAAGGTCAAGAACGGAGCGAGGGATTTGGCAGAGAGGGGACCAGGATTAGCGGAGAGGACAGAATGAAAACATTTGGGAGACTGGAAACAAAATACTTCTGTAGTTGTTGATAGACTCGAGCTGTGTAAACAAGCAAGAGGACGGACTCCATTAATCATCCCTCATCAATGAGTTCGGCCTTCAGAGGCCCTAAGCCAATGGTTTTTATAATGTCATGTAGAGCTCTAGGTGGAAGGAAAAAAACAAAAACAGAGGTTAATACGTGACAAGGCCTAACATCTCCACAGGCTCAAAACAGGCCACTTGGGCTTTGCCAGCTGCTTCCTGAGCCGGTGGAGGTGGTTATTCATTAGGTTTTGTCCCTAGCAGACAGCAGGGGCCTGGCTGAGGACCCGCACCTCTCTGCTGGGCCATGCAGCCGGCATGCTGAGGGGGGGGGGGCTCTCAAAGCCAGCCTCGGGGCGGGGGGGCGGCTCCTCCTCCTGCTTTGCAGAGCATGGACCTCAAGGCTCAAAGCAGTTAAGCGACCTGCCTGATATCACCCAAAACGAGGGGCAGGGGTGGGGACTCTCAGGCCCCTTCCTGGAGCCAGAGCTCAATGAGGCACCACGGGCGTCTGATGGCACAGGTTGGGCTGCTTCCTCCACATCTCTGTGCTAGTGAACTTGACAAAGGAGGAGGCTTTGCAGGTGCCAGTGACGTGCCACCTACACAGTCAGCACCAAGATGGACTCCAAGCCCCACTGTGTGAAGCATTCACCGGGTCCCAGGCCTCATGCCAGGCTTTTTATGTGCATGTGGGGGTTAAAATATACATAACATTAAATGTACCATTGTAACCATGTTTAAGTGCATAGTTCAGTGGCATTAAGGACTTTCACATCGCTGTGCTACTGTCACCACCGTCCATCTCAGAACTTTTCCATCTCCCCAAACTGAAATTCTATCCCCATTAAACAACAACTCCCCGTCCCATATCCCCAGCCCTTCTCCTGGCTTTTTGTACATTAGCACCTTAATCTGCAGTGTCCTGATGCCTGGGGACTACTATCACCCTTTCTACAGCCGAGGAAACTGAGACTTAGAGAAGCCTTCCCTTTGAATTCCCCCAAAATAGCTTCCTGGCACGGAGGTGCAGAGATCCAGGCAGAGGCTTCACGCCAGCATCGGTGTGTTCCAGGGAGTGTGACCCTTCACTCCTCAGGGGTCCCTGGCATTGGCGTGAGCTCACTCCCTGTCCTAGGAGCCAGCATGTGTGTTTCTTGGTGAGATGGGGTGGGGAATTCACCCACGTGGTGCAAATGCCTGTTGATATCTGGGCTGCCCAAGGGGGACAGCATTTGTGAACAAACAGCTCTAGGAGAGGAGAGTGGGAGCCTCCCCTCCCCCACACCGGGATCTCACCCAGCCCAGCCCCTGATGTGGGTTAACAGTAATCGCCTAGCTGCCAATTCACTCTAATACTTTCAGATCTTTCTCGATACCCCTGCCAAGCAGGGCAGATCCTCCCATTTACAGAGTAGGACACAGGCTTGGAGAAGTCAGGGTCACATAGCTGTTAAGTGAGGGCGGCCCAGGAGGCTGGTGGAGGGGGGTGGTGCTCTCTAGAAGTGCAGGGAACTTGGAAATGAGGGTGTCTGAGCTGGTCTTGGCCCTGACTCACAGTGACACTGTAGCCTCTTGTCTTTAATTTCCCCTCTTCAAAAAAGGAAAGAAACTTTGTTTTAAACTTCTTTTGAAGCTTAACATTTGAGCTGCAGGTTTGCTATCATTCAGTTGCTATTTAGGCTCAGAAACCACTCAGCTGACACATCAATTGGAGGTCAGAAAAGCATCCCCTTCTCTTTTGGGCCCCTTTCCCTGATTCCGGGCTCCACAGTGTCATCTCCGGCCCCCTTCAGCCCATGAAAAGGATTTTCTTCTTATGTCCCTTTCCTTGATCCTCCTGTGAGGTGTCCCAAAGGAGGAGGTGGTTGGATTTGTCTTGTTAGATGTTTCTTGCTGGAGAAACAACCTTCCCCAAAGCCTATCCCAGATAGAACAACAGATGGGTCAACATTTTTAACTTTTAAAGGAGTCAAATCGGCCTTAGAGGGTGTGTTGGTTGGCAGGGCAGTTTGAGTGTAGCCAAATTCAAAATGCTTCTGTGTGCCCTTTAGCCCTGAAGTTCACTTCGGAGGCTGCTGCAAATACACGTGCACACATGCCTAAAGGCAAATGGGGCCAGGAGCTGCTGCCTGCGCAGGCACAACAGACGTAGCAGACGTCTGGAACAGTCAGTCCGGCATCAGTTAGATCAGTGGTACCTGGCCACAGGCTGGAGTTTTATGCCATCTTTTTAAAAACGAGGCAGCTGTCTATGTAATGATATGGAACAGTCTCCAGGATAAATTGTTAGGCACAAAGATGGGAAGACTCAGATTGAGAATCATCCCAGAGCATGACCTATGGAGGGGACTTTTCAAATCAGCTTCCTTACCATGGGAATCCAGCAGTGGGATCCTGGAGTCACAGGCAGCATGTGGCTTACACACATGGGCATGCGTGCATGCATCCCCAAAGGGTGAAAAACTACTGTGTGAATCTGACCTGAACCTACCTCCTTTCTACTGATGTGGAAACTGAGGCCCAGGCGTGCCCCGGGTTATCCAGCAAGGGAGTGCTGAGGTCTACCACTGATGGGGAAACTGAGGCCCAGGCATGCCCCGGGTTATCCAGCAAGGGAGTGCTGAGGTCTACCCATTTGTCACGTGTTTGCTGAGCAGCCACAAGTGTCTGGCCGGGCTGGGCACTCAAGGGCCAGATATGAGTGTTACTGATGTGGAAACTGAGGCCCAGGCGTGCCCCGGGTTATCCAGCAAGGGAGTGCTGAGGTCTACCCATTTGTCACATGTTTGCTGAGCAGCCACAAGTGTCTGGCCGGGCTGGGCACTCAAGGGCCAGATATGAGTGTGGCACCACCTTTGCCTTCAGAGAGGACCGAGACACAGGGCGGGGGGGGAGGGGATTGGGGAAGGTGTTGTCACGGCAGCACACAGGCGCCACGATCGGGCAGGGTGGAGGGTCAGCACTGGCTTCAGAGAAGCGGTCGTTCTCCAGCTGATCTTAGATGATTAGGGAAAGGCATTCTGGGGACAGGAACAGCCTAAGAAAAATGCACAGGTGCAGACCACCACGGCTTGCCACACGGTACAAGGTCTGGCTCCAAGGAGCGGAAGGTGGCCTTGCCGGGCAGAGCCCTGAGGGACCAGGCTCTCACGTCTGCGGGCGACTCCTGACTCGAGCCAGTCTCTCCTGGTCCTGGCCGCACTGCACGAGCCCAGGCTGTCCTCTGAGCAGCGGGGGGCACTCACCGGCTCTCCTCTCCTCTCTTCTCCTCCTTAGTTTGTTGAAGTTGAAGGACAGATCACATCCTTGGTTGATCTTTACCCATCCTTCCTAAGGAAGGGTTGTCGTCGGGAAATCTTCATCGCCATCGTGTGTAGCATCAGCTACCTGCTGGGGCTGACGATGGTGACAGAGGTAGGTGGCTCGCTCACCCTACACGCCCTTTTTTCCTGTTGCCATGGCAAGATTGCTGCCACCTACTGCCCTTGGTCCCCCTGTCCTGAAAGACATGGGGAAGTTGCACTTCAGCCAAAATCCATTTTAACAACAGCTCTGTTCACCCAGGGCTGTGTACAGTGGCCTTTGTCAGGCCTGAAAGGGTTGAGACACAGGGTAAATTCAGACCTCCCGGTAAAGCCCGCAGGCAGTGCCATGTAAACATCACTGCCTTGCAGGTCGCTTGCCGTGCAGCCAGGCCTGCAGGCGTGTGGGCATCTG